CATTTTTTGTCTGATAGTTTACTAATTTTTTGGATGCTGGATTTTTGCCTTTTAGTTACTGAATGTTGCCAGAGTGCGCCAAAATTCAACAATAATCAGATATAAGAAAATCGTAACTGTTCTTACAATAGGTAAAAATTGGTAGAAAATCAGATTCCTGATCTTTCACTGATTTTATTCCGAACTGTCCTTTTTTGACTAGTGCCACTTGCAAAGTTGATGTTTCGGTGGAATGTAACTCTTAATTCGGTCAAAAATATTAAAACATGGTGTTCACAATGTGCATATTCAAATGAGATGCAAAACAGTTGTTAAAGAAGGACTCGTCAGTAACAAGAAGTCTCTAGAACGTTCAAAAGGCTTAAATCTCGACGTCTATTACCCTGAGCAATAGAAGCTCAAGGTATATAGCACAGAGAATTTGTGTTATTTCCCACAAGAATGTAGAAGGACCAAGCACTCATTCTTTTGCGATTTTCTAACAAATTTTTTTATTTTTAAATAAAGAAACAGACTCTAATGCCTTAGGACCTTTAAATGCACGTTTTCAGTGTTGAAAATTCAATGTGGGGAATGTGGGGGTGTAACATTACACACCAATCAAATTTTTAATTTTTGGAGATAGTTTCTAAATTTGTACTAGTTACACGACGAAATTTCAACACTGCACGTTTTTATGTAAAGTGAAATTTCGGATAAAAATAACTTTGTCACCAACAGCTTTAATTATCTCTGTAAGAAGCGATACTTGAAAAGCAAAACTAGATCTAAAGATAATGTTTTTGTAGCACAGAAACTACTTTTTTCGTGAGTATTAAATCCATATTTCCACAATCTTCTTTCCACTAAAACAACTTATTAAACATTTCTTGGCTTTGATCAAATCTTTTAAATGAATTTGACACTTGGTTAAACGGAGCACTTTAAAAATTTTATTCAAGGTTTTATCTTAACGAGTAAGGTCTAACTAATTGAAATTCCTTTGGAAAATTGTGATCACGTGACTACACCAGAGACAAAAATGAATTAGTGGCGCAGCATTTGATGGATAAAAGCTTGTGATTGTTGCTACTACATGTCAACACTTTTGAAACTGTCAATTAAAAGGACTGTGTCGCATAAATAGAAGATTAAAATGGTGTAAGGATTTTTGAAAAGAGGAAAGCTTTTACTTTCGAGTTGTTGCAAAAAACTACCCTTAGGTTGTCATCATAATAGAAAATATATATAATTAATAACAAGATTTTAAACGTCGCAGTGAGCGAGCGGCGGCACGTGCACGAATTTATCTGTAAGCATTTTAACATTAATATTAATATAATAAACAAAGCAATAATAATAAAATAAAAACGACGGATTGTTTTTCTTCTCAGGAGCAGTAAACATCAATTAACTAAATATTAATAATAATATTAATATTAAATAGCTTGCTTGTTAAACCTTTTTTTTTTTTTAATATATATTGCAAAAAAAAAAATTTACAAATACAGTGGCAAGTAGAAAAGATTGATTTGTTCCATAACATGATAAATTAATTATTTTTTACCGTCTTATCAAATTTGCAACCCTTCAGTATTAATCTTTTCCAATCATTTATATTCTTCTAATGCTGCTTTAGAGACCTTTAACTGAGCAGAGTCAAAACTGAGAATATGCAAGTTTTTTAACAAAAGAGCTTGGCTCATTGTAATGTATATTTGTCCTTCAGCAAATATGTTCTCATCAACACTCAACAACGTGGTTGGGCTTGTTTTATATATGGCACAAATGGCCAGCAATTTGATTCAATTATTTGGCTTCCACTAATTACACTGTCAGTGGAAGAGACGGTTTTAATGAAGCACGTAGATAAAAAAATGGATGATATGCTTTTTTTTTAATTAGTTATTTTTTTTTTTTTTAACAAAAGAATATTATGAATTTGATCAATTAACATTCCTTCATTTTATATTCATTAACGTAAATGATGACGTTGACATTAAATGATGACGTTGACATTGATGTTAACGTTAACTTTAACTACTCTATATACACAATGAATCATTTTCGTAACACTTGAAATTTCCTTTTTTTTTCGAAAAATTCCTTTTTTAAACAAATTCTAATGAAAAATGACCGAAAATCTCCTTTTTTTTAAAGTTAAATACGAGTCTATAGAGAGGTTCCGTATTCTGTACATCTGCGCCTCTGTAGTAAAAAATGCTCTGTGTGAAACAAAAATATGGAAACGAAGATCATACAGACTGGCCCCCCACCAATCAACTTTTCTATTTCAGAATTCACAAATTCCGTTCCGTACAAAATTAAAAAATTAAATATAAAATTAAAATCGAAGATCTTACAGACTGGCCTCCACCAATCAACTTTTCAAAATTCACAAATTCCATTCCGTACAAAATTAAAAATTAAAAATAAAAAATGTACGGGGCAAAAAAAATAGTGAAAGTTGCACGGACTGGTTAAATACATTGCACTAAATTAAACTCATCATATTCTTTCGTCAAATAATTAAACAAATAAAGCTTAGACTATAATAATAGTAATAAGAATTTAATACGGTCTTGTTGTCTCAATTGGTATGTAAATTTGATCGCAACATTAAAATATTGCACAAAAAATACCAGTTTTTGAAACTGGGCTGGGTTTCCTTAGATCTTTCTGGAATATAGGTAGTTTCCTTCCAGCTAATAAATTTTTATATTAATATATAACCTTTGTCTTTATCACAAAGCCTTCCCTTGTTTATTTATTTAACTAAAATTTTTGTTACACGATTTTAATTAATCTCGGCTTTATAAAAAATTCAAAATTTAATCCAAGTGTATAGTGAATTAATGAATTGACCAATGAAAAGATTGGCTTGGCAATCTGATGGAAACGTTTTATGCAAAGAAGTGTGTGTAAATTGTTCTTACCTCCTTGTGTTTGATCAGTGTTTCACTGAATGAATGTCTATGTATAGTAAAAGATCGACAAAATAAAGTTTTTTATTTCTTCTAAAATATTCCTTTTGAGTGGGTTGCACGAGAAAGATATTTACCTTTTTTTTTGCTTGTATCGTTGTTTGAGTTTTTAAATAGCAGTTTTGATCCGTTACTATTAGTAATCTAATATTATTTCTACCATTATGTGTTTATTTATTATACGGCCGTTATAACTTTTCTAAAATTTCTTTTTTAAACTTGTGGTCACGAATTACCTTCTATTACAAGTTGCTTTTTCAAAATAAAAGACAATCGGAGAAAGAAATTTCTACTTGATATTATATTATTTAGCGAATGTTCCTTCTATTTTACACACGAATGGTGATAAGTTCGGATATTTAGTTATCAAATAACAGATATTTATAGAATCTTCCAATTCTATTCCAAATTTATATCACAAAACTAAAGCAAAGCACGTGACCTTTATGATTATATTCCAATATTCACTGATATAAATGTATCGTTTACGCGTCTTTTAAATTAACTTATACAATAAATATTTAACTTAAATTGGATTGGCTCACTATTAAAAATAACAAACAATTCATTTTTCATTTTAGAAACAAATTTATTAAAAATTTTACCATAACAAGAAATTAAACTCCAAATAAATTAAAAAAAAAAAAGTCCACGTAATATCTTTAAACCAATGAAAGTGAAGATACATTAACCATTTGTTTATTTATTGCCAATTAGAGGCGAACGAATAAAAGCCTAGAATTTAAAGTTGACAATTAAATTTAATGTAAACAATTATTAAGCTGTTTGAAAACAATAGAATAAAATGGGAAAACAAAAAGTGGATATCTTTACAGAGTACACGCCGATAATAGTAAAGCCAAAAGATAATAATAGTAATAATAGTACTAGTGTAATATAAAATATTTTAGATGATACAGAAAAGAAGAAGAAGGAAGAATTGAACTGTTACCTAAATAAAAGTTTTTCCGTGATCCAACATCAATGTTTTTTTTGAATTCCAACAAGATAAGCGATTGTGTTGACCTTTCTGATTTCCCGCACTTTATTATGACTTTCATTGGACAATTTAAACAGGCTATGCACGATACAGTTATCAATTTGAGCGAATTTTACTTTAAACTTACTACATACACGGAGATTTAAAACCGATTACTGCGTTTTTTTCGAATATAAAATAAACCATATTTTTTTTTTAAAAAGTCTTGAGTCATCATCGTCTAGATATAGATAAATATATTACACATATAATATCTGTCTGCATATATATATATATATATATATATATTCGTACGCTTTAATTTTTATTTATTGATTTATTGATTAAATTCATTTTTTAAAAGAAAGCAGCAATATTATAAAACAAAAAAAATTATTTCTTTCGTAAAAATAAAAGTTCATCCATCCACACAACTACATTTATTATATAATATATAATTATATAACGCAATCTTTTTAAAAAAAACAAATATGGATCTTTTAAATAATTTCGAATCAATCCGTATACCGTTTCCACCTACGATTAAAGCTGAGGATTTTCTTGACAAGCGTTTTTATAGTGGCAGTACGAGAAAAGGTCCAAATTCATTTTTCGTCTATAGAAAAGCATTCGTTAGCCATTTACAACTCTACAGCTATAAACTCAAGATGACGGTTGTTTCATCTTTAGCCAGTAAAGCATGGAAAAAAGAGTCGACAGAAGTTAAAAATCATTATAAAAGTATTTCCCGTAAAATCGAGCGATTATTGGTCGAATCTAGGCAAAGAGAATTAATTAACAGCTACAACAATAATCATGGTTCACCATTTTCGGTGTTTAATGCTACTTCTCCATCACCAAGTTATCAACCTTTTCCTCAAATTACTTCTAATGCCACCATTAGCAGTGGTGATAATAACAATGACAACGGCTTTGTTAATTATGCTAATAATCACTATTACGATAACAACAACCATACCAACATCCCTGCTAATACCAATGTCACATTGGAAAATACAAATCAATCGATAGGGTATACTTTCGACATGCCTTTATTGGACACGCAAATTCAACATGCATTGAATTTTTCAAATATATATGGATCAGACTTTTCAAATATTAGCAACGACAACAATAACAACTACGATAATTCTCAGTCTGGATATGTTTTATTATTGGGTGAACCCCCTTATTTTTAAATTATCAGGAATAATTTACATTCATTTTCTTTAAAAAAAACTCTCTCTCGTTTAGTTTATTTTTTTGTTTCAAAGTTGTGTGTGTGTATGTATATATATATATATAGAAATGGCCGGGGATGACGAACAAGATTTTTTCTTTTAAGATTATAAGTAAATAAATATAAATAATATATAATTAAGTCTATGTTTGTGAATATGCAAAATTATTAAGTAATAAATTTTAAATTATGTTAGCAAATACTTGCTTGTATCCAAAATATAAAGATCTCGTTTAACAAGTATGGCTTATATCATATAATGATCTATAGCAGTGAGTGAACAAATTTAAATATTAAACAAAAAATAGAAAATAGTATCTTGAATTAATTAACCAAGAGGAGATTCTAGATCCAATAGCATTTATTTTCTTTAGAACAAAAAGTGATATCTTTATTGTAAAAATAATGAAATTAACAATATTATATATAATATTAATAATGAAGTTGATAATAATTTTTTGGTAATAATGATAATTCTCAGGTAAATTTTCTGGTTGTTATTATTATTATGGATTATTACAAATCCTTTGTTAGTTTTTTTTTTAACTTGATCAAAAAATTTTATCCTCCTCTTATCATACAGTCAAAAAGAACTTTTAGAAAACACAAATATTCAAATAAAAAAACTTACTTTTAATAAATCCTACACCTATATCGAGTGTATGATTACAGACTTTTCATAAATCATAGCAACAACTAACAAGTTCCTGATCTCTGTGATACTTGTTGTGAATTTGATGCAAATTTGAGATCAACAAAGGTAAAGATGAAGATGAAATTAATTTGCAAACATTATTTATTGAATATGAAAAGTTGTAAATTGTGAAAGAGACCATTACAATGATATTATCAAAAAAGATAGATCTGATACATCAGTAAGTCACATCTTTTATGATCGTGCGCAATGCGCTGAAACGTCTTATTCTCCCCAACAAACTGGATCTTTTTGGTATGCGCAAACTGGCAAAAATAAAATTATCAATTAAATTATCATTTGGAGAAGATGAATCCCCAAAAGGAACGCCTAAAGAAGCTAATATTATTTTAAACATAATATATAATTCTATTGAAAAAATTGGTCATGCTGAAAAAGAAATCCTTTATGTAACATGGGATGTCCACCAGCAATACGGGGTCTGAGGACCCCTGGCCAAAATTGAGTTTTTGCATAATGTATATTAATATATCCATATATCATAAGGATTATAATTGGTGAAAAATTTAGACCGTATAATAATGAGATACAAGGCTTGAAATATTTACTTTACATGTCAAAAACATGCGTAATCAATCTTTTTACACAAAACAATTTAATAGTCTCAGACCACATGTAATAATCGTACAAAAATAATTTATCTCTATGATTCTGGTCATGAATAACAATGTTAGGTCGATATGAGGATATTTTGTGATGCAAAATTTGGACATATTAAAAGCAAATACAAAAATAGACGCATAAATACTGTTGATGATGTTGGAAAAGCTATCAATAATTCACCAGACTGTAATAAATCTATTGCATATAATAATGCCTCAAATTGAAGCTGGTATAACTTTACTTCATTATTTGAAGGACATTTTCAAAGTCTGCCAAATATAACAAAATATTATTATCAGATGATATTGGAAAATTTTATGTAGGGTTCCGATCTGATTCTTTGAAAAGTTGATCTGATTTGATCTGGTCAAAACAGATTAGATTTTAATATTTCAAATATCTTATTGTATTTGCTCACAACCTGCATCTGGTTGGTGTGATTATACCTCCCGAACCATTTTGGATAGTTGATTTTTCCTTCTGATAGTATCCAAACTATCAAACACATATTCAAATATATTGTGATTAACTGCAACCATTCCAAATAATTTACTAATACCAAATATGCACAAGTAAAGCCTGAAACACTGGTGGCCGGGATTGCTAATAATTCTTTGCCATCATTGCCAAATGTGGATAATAACAAGTATAGTGAGCTAAAAATATCAGTTTTTGGGGTATGTCCTTAATTCATCATCTCTAGTTATACGTTGTTGTTTGTACATATGTTAGTAAGGTCATCATTAACATTTATCAACATTATCTATCACCTTCAGGGGATTGCATTTGAAGTATTACGAGTACGAATGTCTCGGGCATTACTACTAACATTGCAGCTCGAATCGACCAATGACAAATTTTCAATTTTCAGATGGTCAGGGCATTTGTGTAACAGGTTTCAAAAACAAAATTTCCTTATGTTACCGATTAATTTTTAGGAGCGAATTTAATTGATGACAATAAAATTAATATTGTTGGTTCGGTCTAAAGACCTCCTATTGTTGCGCCATGTGGCCAAATTTCAAAAAAAATTACTATATACCAAATTTAGATACAGGAGTCCGGAGCTAGTCTAAATTTAAAAATGATCATAGTAGAAAATTCTTTGTGAGCAAAGTACATTTTTTAAAAAAGAATAGAACTCTACAACAAATAATTTTTTTGAGAATATCTCGTTATTTATATTAAACTAATGACCTATTTTATCAACTAATAAAACTATTTTTTAAAAGGTAGGACAGAAAATGACTTCTATACTTTTAAAATTTGCCCAAAATTTAGGAGGTCTTTAGACCGAGCCAACTATAGGTTATGAGGATCAAACTGATCAGTGTATTTAGTTTTGAGTACGATTTGATTATTTCTCAAATCGAAACTTGTTATTATTTTCCTTTCAAGAAAAGTCATTGTTAAAGTATATGGAATTCGACATAACGTTTTATTAGAGGACTATTTTATAAGTGTTTGACTCCATAAACGTTCAGTGCATCCAAAGTTACCATATGAAATAGGTCGGGACTAGGCGACTCGAACTATACATGATTCGTTATCACTTTCATTATCATTGTCATCATTGTCACTCTCATTATCATAAAGAACAACTTTGAGTTTTTTGAAGTAATACATTATAATAAATCCATTAGAAGCAAAAAACGACACTTTTTACATTTAAATAATACAACATGTTGTACTGATTCATGTCTAAACATATATAGACCATCAAGATGATATGAAGCATTTACTAGCCCTAATAAAAATTAATTTTTATGGCAGGTGGTCGAATAGCTGATGTAAAAGCTAAGAACACTCAAAGGAAGGATGTTCATAATTTTGATGGTATCAAAAAAAAGGCTTTCTTTTGTATTTATAAAAAATTTGAAAAGTCATTTTTGAAAATGATATCAAATTAAAACACATAATCTGAAAGGAAGGAAACTAAAGAATGCCATGTAGTTTTGAAAGCAATTACTTTATATTGAATTATGCAAAAATTCATGGCTTACCTTCTTCGCCAGGTAACAATTACAATTAAACTCGTTATTGAAATTAATTCATTCTGCAGGTAAAAATTTTTACCAAAACAAAAGGCCATTACTTTATTAACCTGCCTATGGAAAACTTATATTTCTAATGTAAAACTTCTTAATATTGGGGAGATGAAGAAAATGCAGAGAAGGTTATATGGAACGGGGGGGGGGAGGAGAAAGAGAAAATTATATTTTATAAACCAAGTTACAATCCCTAATACCTTTTGTTATCTTAATTTCTTTATCTCTTAATATTTTTGAACCAATGAAATATACCTCTAAAAAGCAGCTAATTCACCTGACTGTTGCTCGTGAAGCAAAAAACAAAAAAAAAAAAAAATTAAAACTATCCCGAAATGCTTTGAATAATTTTATTAAACAAATTCGCAGATGTCAAAAAGGTTTATCAGAAAGGGTTAATAGGATTGGAAGCTGCTTATGCAATCAAGCAGCATAGTTCACATAGACAGGAGTATTCTTAATCCAGTTGTGACCATTACTGATTAAAATGATTATTTTTTTTTTTTGGTTTATTATATTTTTTCAGTATGATTAAATAATAAAATTTTTTGCCAAGAACTTTTCTAGTTGTGAATATACAAGTATATTTATTATAAGAGCATAAAAGACATTAGTATTGGATGATGAATTGGAACAGGTATAATAAGTTTATAAAGACAATATATTGCCAAGTCACAAAAAATCAACAACATTATTTTGCATTAAAATTTATTTGTTTTTATTTTGGTCCAGAAAATCGGTAGTTCGAATAATTCGGTAACAAATGTTTACTAATATCATACAATACAAGACAAAGAAAAAAATGGTTACACCATTTCTCGAGTGAGAGTGAGTCACAACGGATCAACAATAAGCATACATAAAAAGATAAAATTAGTAAACCAATGAATGGAATGAGTGTGCGAATTTAATCAATTATCATTTTCTAATATGGAAAACAATGAAAGCTGTATTTTAATTTGTCGGGAAACATCATCAAAATCCGACACATGATGATTTATTAATAGTAACAATTTGCCATAAAGGTACATGTGTATTACATGCTTTAAGCGATCAATAAGTTTGATATAAAAAAACAAATCTTGAATCCTTAAGGTAGAGTATAGTCATGTGATTTTATATAATGATCGGCGAGGATAGTAAATTTTCTATTTAATATTAAAATAAATAGAAATAATAAATTTTAAGTGAATAATAACCATATTATTAAATACCAAAAGAAAATTGCCTGTTTTTAATGCTTTGCTAATGATCAAGATACGTGTAAGTGATATTAGTTTTACTCGTGTAATTTGGATCATTAAAAACATTTAAAAAATAGAATTTTTTGAAAACAACTTATATAGATGAGTTGAGGGATGGTAGTAGAAGTCAATAACAAGATAGCAATATATCTCCACCTACTCTACATATACTATTTGTTCTATATACCTATTATTCGTGGAAGTTATATCAAATTTTCTCTTACTTTAAACAAAAACGTGGGAGCTTCCTGTAATTTTACTTGGTATTTTTGAAATAATTAATATAAATAATTAATAACATCATAATTTATTTATAAATAAGAACATGAGAAAATATAAAGTCCATTCTCTTTTTCATTATAAAGTGTGTTTACTAAGACGTTCGTTATAGAGAGAGAAATTAATTAAAAGGGAAGAGATTTTACTTAGTGTTCGTTAGAGTGAACTGTAGTTTGTTTGTTTTGTTTTGTTTTTTTGTTTGCTAAAGGATGTCATAGAAGAAAATGACAATATTATTAAACATTATTGGTGTTGTAATAATTTTTCCTATATATTACTGTTATACATATATAATAATATAATAATAACGTTATTAATATTTTTAATGATCGGCAGTCAAAAAATTATCACACTCTACCCAACATGATGATGATCAACTTCAAATATTTTTGACATATTTAGAACACAAATAAAAAGAAATGTTATTGGTTACTTGTTTAATATTGTTTTGAACAATGAAAAAAGAGCAAATAGAAAATGAAACAACAAACAACAAACAACATTGAAAATTGAAATTTATTTTTTTTAAAAAAAGTGAAAAAACAAATTATAAGTTTCTTAGATTTATTTATTTTTTTTTATTTTTAATAGATTTTTTTAAAAAAAAAAACATATACAATAAATGAAAAAGCAGATTTACAAACGAAAAGGAATTCGATTTTTTTCCTAATCTATATATTATATTTTTTGAATGTGTTTGTGAGTTCGTCATGTGTGTACGTGTATTTAATAATCACAAGCATGGTTATTGTCGATGTTATCATTGAAATTAAAATCATAATTTTCGTAGAAATTAATATTGTTATTGTAAAGTAAAGGAGTAGTATCGTAATTTTCGTAAGAATTATATGAAAAAATAGGTGAAGTATTCGAATCGTTAATAAATTGAGGCGATGGCAACATGTAATCATTAATTACAGGGGTCTCGATATTAGGAGAGCTATTTGCCGAAGAAATGTCAATTAACTTGTCATTATTATCATTATTACTATTGTCATTTTCGTTTGACGATAAATATTGATCATAATAATAATTAAAATTGTTATCATTTAAGAATGCTTGTTGAGGATTTACATTGATGTAACTATTGTTATTGCTATTGTTGTTGTTGTTGTTGTTGTTGTTATTATTATTATTATTATTATTATTATTATTATTATTATTATTATTATTATTATTATTATTATTATTAAAGGGGAAAAGGTTTGATTGACTTGTTGGTATTGTGTTAATAATAATAGGAAGAGGAGGAGGAGAAAATGTAATTTGTGGCTGGAATTTGATGGCATGATTTTGATTTGCGAGAGATTCTTTTTCAATGCAGTTCAAGGTCCAATCCAATATATTTGGACTATTAAAGAAGTTAGATTGTAAATGAGCGGTATTGATCGTAGCAGAGGGCATAATGTAATTATTAGAAGGTTGGCTATTATTAATATTAATGGTGTTTTCGATAATACTATTGCTAACGTTGTTGTTATTATTATTATTGTCACTATCACTATAATTGTTGTTGTTGCTGTTGATATTAATAACGGTGTTACTGTTATTGTTATTATCTTGGTTATGATTTTCCCAAAATAATTTATCAGCTTCTCTCGCCAAATCGAAGTAAGTATCTTTAATGCATTGAGGTTCGCTATTCCAGCTGGAAGCAACCATCGGTGAAATTATTGATTGACGAATTTTATAATTATTTTTTCTTAATTCTTTAACGAATTCATTTCGATAAATGATAAAGGCATTTGGAGATTTCAATCTTTTTGTAATTTTTGGTTTACCGTTGTCGTTTTTGTTATTTTTGTTATTTTTGTCATTATTGTCATTATTTTTTTTAACAGATTTTTTTGTTGGTCTTTTCGATTGATTTGACTTTAATAATATTTCTTTTGGAGAAATTTTTGGTGGATAAGGAGGTCTGATAAGAATCATTTTTGTTGTGATTCTTTCTTCGAGGTTTGAATTAACTAAAGAAGATTCGTGTTCGTTTACCATTTTGTATCGTTGTTCAGATATATATATATTTTTTTTAATAAAAAATTATATTAACGATCGAAGAAAAATTTATTTTTTTTATAATTATTATTATTAAGATACAAAGATCGTTAAAAAACAACATCTAGAAAAAACCTTGTTTATTTATATAAATTTTTCGAAATGGTTTTCCAATAAAAGAAAACTAAATTAATTTCTTCGTTTTTAAAACATTACCTAACTAAATTTAATTATTTACAAACATGTATAACACGCTAGCAATTAAAAATAAACAATAATGCGTAATAAATAAAATGAAACATAAGTTTCCATGTTGATATAATAACAATATAAATAATATTGTGTTCCCAATTTAATCGAAACATAAAACCAATTAAAAAATTCCTTCTTTTCAAGTAATTTTCCGAAAAATTTGCTATTATTGTTACTATATATTTTAATACACTAGAAAATTAGTCTAAATAGGGGTATGAAATATTATTAAAAATAGATATGTCCATCACATACTTTGCCACAAGCCAAGTGTCACACAGCTATGGTAACGCCACAGCTTAACCACATTTTTAAAGCGAATCGTTTCAAATTTGGACAAATTGTATGTATGGTCATATAGTTCGGGTTTCTATGGTTAAAACGGCATCAATAAAGAAAAAAAATTTTTTTTCTTCTTCTTTTTTAGATTAATTCTTTGACTTTCAACGACCAATAAATCATATAAAACTTATCATGGTATTCAAAGTGCTTCTTAAATAGTATATTAATGACGGTGATTGTATAGCAATGGCTACATAATGTCGACAATGACACGCATCATTATAGTGATTGTAAAAATATTTTGAAACTCTGAAACTCTGATCAATGATTTACGTTGTTAGAGAGATTTGTTATTATTAATATTATTGTTGCTTTAATTTGTATATAATGGACAAGAAATTATTTTGGTGTAACCTGATTATTTAAAATGATGTCTCGACTCGTATGAATCCCGGGTTTTTTTGAACGAATGAATGAAATCAAAAGGGTTAATTGATTATTAACAAATAAACAAATAAACAATAAAATTAAAATTTTAAACTTATCGATTTTATCGCACACAAAAAAGTAAATTTTAAATTAACAAATGTTTATGATCGTATCAATTTATATATGCACGTTCCCTGATAATAATAATTAATAATAATAATAATTGTTAAGATAATTATTGTAATTATAATGCGATCACAAAAAAAAAATGAGAACGAATTCAAACAATTATAAAATAAATTAAACTTAATTTAAATTACAAATTACAAACTACCAAATTACAAATTATAAATGAAAACCCAATTTTGATTTCAAGTCTTTTTTTGGTGAACACTATCATAAATGCGGACAGATCTTCGCTTTTTTTTTTTTCAAGAAAATCGTAATTAAAGAATTTTTTTTTTTTTAAATATGCACATTATTAGTAGACAATTTAACTATGCAAAAAATTATAATTTTCATAAATCCATAAAAGCTTTAATTAAATGGGACAATAGATATACAGTATAAACAGTCACGCGCATTTAAATTAATAAAATCCCACGTCTCTGAGAATGGATAATCATAATCGTCATAATAATCATAATCGTCATAATACTCATAATCATTATAATACTCATAATCATTATAATAATCATCACCGTAACTAACTATAAACATAATCGTTAAAATAGCTCAATCGTGGAGTTTGGGTCCGTCGATAAATGAAGTCTAATGGATATATCTTTTAAGTGAATTTCGGATACTAATCCGTTTAAATCGTCGGATAAACGGGTGCCCGAAAGAACGTCAATAATTTTCATAACTAAATTGATTTTATATGATTTTAATTGCTTTGTTAAACTGCTATTTGAATTGTATTTACTCGTTAGATATAGCAACTTCATTGTCATATATATTTCATTTTAAAAACAATATTTTTTCAAATGTATTTGTTTCCTATTCATAACCAAATTCGCATGGGAAAGAAGTCATTCACTGGGTAAATATAGTATAATCTCTATCATTAGAATGTTAGCCCCATTTCCATACCCAGCTAGAAAGAGTGGATGGATTGTTTAGTATTCTTACAATTGTAAATAATTCAAAAGAATCATTTGACAGAGCTTCAAGTTCTTCGATTTCTTTGTTAGATTTGTATCGTTTTCTTTGAGTAGTAAGTGGTTTATTGGAGCTAGTATCTTTATTTTCTTCAGGACTTCATAAAGTATATCTGATTCATTAAATTTAATTTCTTTTTCACTCTCATATAGTCCATATTTGTCATTGTCTTGATATACATCTTTTCCAATACGCATTTTTTGCGCCAATGTTACACTATACGCTCGCTTCTAATATCATTATCCGATCGGATCGGATAAGGCCGTTGAATATCCGGCGGTTCCAAACTCTACTCCATCGTACGCCATCCATAATTTCTAATTTATTTTTATCAATAAAAAATTAGATGTACATTTTACCAATGTGTGTTTTTTTAAAAAAAAATAATAGTCATAGTCATCATTTACATCAACAAAATCAGAAAATCATAATTATTAATTAATATATTATGACACTAATTAAATAATTGTTACAATTAAAATAAATCAAAAATAGTCATTAAATGCTGTACATAGTCTTTGTTTATGTTTTTCCATATATAAAAACGTGCGCAAATTTGATGTGATTGTTCGGTCTACACGTGAATCAATTCTGTGACTCAAAATCTTTAGTTTAGAGTAGAGTTTGGGGTCCGAGTATTAATATCCGGATATTTAATAGGGTATCCGTTTATCGAAACCATATTTGGATCAAGCTCTAGTTGGGAAAGAATAACCGAAACCACCCAAAACTAGTTTAGGGTAAAGACACTGGCGAAAAAAACTTGATTCTGACAGATAAATATTGGTAAAATATGGGAAAGGTTGGTTTATTCTACAAATGTTAACCAATTTTAGAAAATAGCAATTAAAGGGACTAACTAGACCACTGACACAACATCGTTAAATCTAAAAATTTCTACCAGTGAGGTTTGAGTTTGGATTTTTAGAGTAGGTTCTATCCTGAAACTGTTTAGTAAGTTTAAAAGAGTTCAGGATCACAGTATTAACGTGAATCAAGGAATGCAAAACTAGAACTAAAATAAAAGCTCGGAGAGAATATCGTGTCTTATTATTTGGTTTATAACAATTCAACATATAATTTAATTGTGTAATGTTCCTTTTTGAAAAATTCTTGTTTCTAAATTATGGCATAGTAAAAGACTAGGTTTCATTCTTCATTCAGGAGTTTAGTATATTTGATTAAATAAACAAGTTTTAATATTAATAATACTTTTACTATTATTATTATTATAATTATTATAATTATTATTATTATAATTATAATAAATAATAATTATAATTATAATTTTATTATTATATTTATAATTAGAATGATTATTATTATAATTAGAATGATTATTATTATAATTATAATTATAATTATAATTATAATTATAATTTATTATTTGTTCATCCATCTCAATTACTTCACCGATAAAAAAAATAAATTTAACGAACGTTTATTGTATGATTAAACTAATATTTTTTTGGAGTCGACCCGATTAACGAATATCACTTTGTAATTTATTGCCGAAAGCAGAAGTTTTTTTTTTTGATTATGTTATTCTTTAAAACATTATCCGGTAAGTCATAAATTTTTTTTAAAAAAAAAAATTTCAAAGTTTTATACACACTGATCAAATTTGATATTAATATAGTAAACAAACCACGCAAATACAGCCAATAATTTTTTTCCGATTATTGTACCACGTCGATCAATAATTTTAGTATAATTTATATGAAGATTTAAAAAAATTAACCAGAAAATATTTTGATATTTTTTTAATATAAATACCTGTGTAAAATTTCTTTAATTTAAATTTTTTTTTGAGGTTCCCTACTAATCATCATATTTTTTAAACATAAACAACAAATTTATCCTTTTCCGTCGATTTATTTTGTCATTGTTATTATTAATAGTAATATAATTAATTTAACGAACAAACAAATCAATATTAATAATAATAATGACAAAAATAAATTCTATTCCTTTTAATCCTAACAGCAATCCTCGAAATTCGCCCTCCCCTTCACCAATCAAAATATCCGTACCTAACCCTCCAACAATTAAACCCCTAGATTACATCCGCAAAAAAAGTAATGGAAAATGGCCAACGAAGCCTCCAAACTCCTTTATACTCTATAGAATAGCCTATTCTCGTGAATTAAAGTTGAATAATGTTAAGTTGTCAATACAAGAGACTTCAAAACTAGTTTCAAATTCTTGGGACAATGAGAAAAAATCGGTAAAAACTGCTTATAAAAACCTTGCTGTCGAGATTGATAAAAAACTTTTAGATTTGAGAAACGAAAACTCTATCTCTGATCAAGATATTTATTTCTACAATCATGATCATTTATCAATCGAACAATTGAAAGACTATTATTTTTCTAACCAACAATTTACTGTCTCTGCAACCAATACCAAAACCAAAACCAACACCAACACCGATCCCTCCTTTTTACCATCTTTTTCTCGAGAGTCACAACAAGTCAATTCTAGCATCGGCAATACCGGTAATAATGCCCATAATATTACTAATATTAAAGCTGTAAACAATAATGATGACGATCATAGAGATTTTATGCAGCAGCAGCAACAACAACAAGATTATGATTATACGTCGTTGTCAACTCAGGATTCCGATAACATTGCACAAATTGATAACGCTAACAACATTGTTGCCGTAAATGAAACAGATAACAATGTTAACAATATCAATGGTCTTAACAGCAACTATGTTGTTGATGTTAATAATGACAACGTTAGAACAATTGAACAAAATTATCATCAAAGTCGACAACAACAACAACAACAACATTTTAATAGTTCCATTAATATTAATTATTCGTTACCGGACATTAGAAACGACTACCAAAGTGTGTATAAATTTAATAATAGTTCTGATATTGGATTAATCGCCACTACTCCAAATGAAAACATCTTCTCAACAAATTTTCTCTTTGACTACCAAAACAAGGGTCAACACTTCATTGATATTAGCAATTATGAAATCAATAACAATGACAATTATATTAATAACCTTAATAATTTTAATGCTAATAATAGTAATAATAATCATTTGAATAATATTGATAGTAATAATTTTAATTTTAATAATACTGATAACAGTTATAATTTTAATTTTAATTCCAATCATAGTAATGATTTTATTTCTAACAATGATACTCATAGTAATAATAATAATTTCAATTGCATTAATAACGATTATTTCAATAATAACAATAATAATGAATTTCAAGATTTTTTATATTATTAAGTATTAAATTTTTTTATGGATAAAAAGTATGATTTTTTTTTTTTTTAATAATGTATCGATATATTATTTAATAATTAAGATGTAATAAAATAAATTATGCTAAGCTATTAAAAAAATAAAATTTTAAATTTTCTAACCAAATTTATAGCCGTCAATCATTTAGAGAAATTCATAGTGATGAATTCGGATTTAAGACTCCCTCGTAAATAATTAATAAATATCATTATCTCGAGCGTAAATAATTAGATAAAATTGAGCTCCACTTTACAGATTTGTATTCGAATGGAAATATCACTTACCCATGACCGGATGAATTTCAAAGGTCAAACAAACCCAGTTATAAAGATTTCGTGGATTTCTTCATTGTATAACCAAAAATATTTATTTGATCGCCATGAAAATCAAATCGGAAATGACGATTCATTTTGTCTAATCTGTTTTTTTTTTAATGCTAACGTACATCGTGTATTACGTGTATATGTATTTTTAGTATATTTAACAATAACTAACTGTATATCGATAAATCATAATAATCATATATATATATACACATCCATCGGCCCATATTTACATCCATCCATCCATGCGCGCTTTCCGAAAGATTATGAAACAAATATATTTGTCACCAAACTAAAATTTCGTGTAATGATGATTTTGTAAATTCTAAAATAGAAAATGTGTGTCATTTTCAAATATGTTTAAATGAATTCGTAATGGTCCGGAATAAAAATTGGCAATCACAATAACAATAATAAATATATTGTAATCGAACGATATTTATTAATAATCGCAATTTATCCTGATATGACCCACATTTAGGAATAAAATTCCTCCATATATACAAGTTTATAAATACATACATCCGCCCACCCATCTATCCCGCCCACCCAACCCACCCATCAACTTATATATGTAGACATGCGTGCTCTCCGAAAGATTATGAAACGAATATATTTGCCGCCAAATTAAAATTTCGTGTGATGATAATTTTTTTATTGATTGATTTTAAATTCTAAAATGGAAAACAGATGTTATGTTCATGATGGTCTGGAATAAAAATGACAATAACAATAACAAATATATTCGTTGATAATCGCAATTTATCCTGATATGTCCAATCTTACAAATGAAATTCATCCATACATACAAGTCTATCATTGTTGTTGTTATTACTTTGGAGAACAAGAAGTTTCTTTCTGCTTTATATCGGTTAATTAAAATAGTCGGTCGATCAAAGATGTTTATGAAAAAGTTCTTAATGAGAATTCTATAACGTGTTCTTTTTTGGGTAATAATAAAATAATGATGTAATGATTATTAAGAGATGTTTTACGATTTATATGAATTTATATGATATCTATAAACTAGTTCTATTCTTTTTCGAGCAATGATATCTGATTTAAAAATAAAGTTTTAATAAGAATTCCATACCGTGTCCTTTTTTTGGGCGATAATAAAATAATGATGTTTTACGATTTATATGATATTTATAAACTAGTTTTACTCTTTTTTTAGCAATGCTATTAGATCCAAAAATAAAGTTCCTAATGAGAATTTCATAACGTGTCCTTTTTTTGGGAGATAATAAGTAAAAATAATAATAACAATAGTGTAATGATGACGATTATAACAACCATATTTCCCAATTTTCTCGGATTTTTGCGGTCAATAGTATATGTGATGGTTAAAGAAAGTCTTATATATGTAAAAAAAATTTTTTGTTTTGTCGTTTTGGTTTTGTTATAATAATAAAAAAATTATATATATAAAATCACGTAGTAGAGATCTTAATAAATCTTAATAAGGAAGTGATATGTGTAACGTGATACGCTACATAGTCACATATTGTAGAATTGAATGAAAAAATATATTTATTAAGTTACTTAAAATGAACTTATTTAAGTAAAAAAATTTTTATTTAGGAAATTCATAATTTTCATAACTGTCACATTGTTATTGTCTCTTATATTTGGGAATAAAATCTTAAAAACAAAAAAAAAAACTTAAATAAGTCTCAATTAATAAAATTTTATAAAATCTTATGTAAAACCTTAAAATACATTATTATTATTATTATTATTATTATTATTATTATCATCATTATTACTACTATTATAATTACTACTACTAGTTTAATATATTACGTAAATAAAAATAAAATACATCATCATTATTACTACAATTACGATTTTAAATATAATAAATGTAATACGTATTATTATCATCATTAACATGAATGAAACACCTTGAGTTCTCGTTTGGTTGAGCCAATGAATTTGATGGATCAAGGATATAATATGGCTCTGAAATATTCACATTATTAAAATTGAGATTATCAAAGTTATTGATATTATCACCATTGATATTATTATTATCACTGATATTAACATTATTATTATCACTTTCATCACTTTCATCACTGACATCACTGACATCACCACCATTATAATTGATGGAAACAATTCCTTCTGAAATCGAGATTTGATTTTGAGCCGTTTTCGTTGTTCGCCTTCTTTTCTTATAATTACTTTCGTTATTATCGATGTAAACGAGATTTTCTCTACGAAGTTCGGTTAATTCGTTTTCTAACTGGGATGAAAGCTGTCTGTAATGATTTTTTACACCGATTGGCTCTTTATTCCACATTTCGCTTATATATTTTGAAATATATCTCATAGAAATCTTGTCACCAGTCGAAGTCTTGAGCTCCTTTACATACGAAGCACGATAAATAATAAATGCATTAATTCTACCGGCTTTGAAATTTCGGGCTTTAACTCTTTTGTCGATAAATTCTTTTATCGAAATTTTTGGAGGAAATGAAGGTTTAAAATTTTGTAAATAATTATTATTATCGAAATTCATTTTTTTTTTTTGTTTTTTTTAAAGTTTATTTTTTAAAAAAAATGAATTGGTTGCAAAAATGATGGTTGATAACTTCATATCTTTTATATATATTAGTTATTTATTTTATCTACAGTAATCTTTTATAATTGCAATTACAATTAGAATATTGTACAATTAACTCTTTCAAACATTTACAAAAACGTTCAAGAATAAAGTTCAGTGGAAAAATAATTCCGTCAAATGATTTTTTTTATTTTAAAATGTTTTATTGCTTCACGCGTACGATTTGCAGCAGTATTTCCATTTTTTTACACAAAGGATGTACAACAAAAATTCCCTAATATTAATTAATGAGTGGTCGGATTTTGCCGCATTATTTATTATTCTAAAACGCAATACCAAAAAGAAATTTTTTTAATAAATATAAACAAGGTTTACAGATCATTGTCATTACTATTCCCATACTATTATTGAATTTCATTTTTTATTGTAATTTCATTTGAAAATTTGAATTAACGAACGTTGGCAATTTATATTCCATTTGTTATTGTTGATTGTTTCCTTTAATCTATAAATAATTAAAGTCACAATTAATGACTTTTATTGATTTTTTTAAAGGAATCATTGAACGAATGAATTCATAAAATTCACACGTCTATTTTTAATCTAAAATTCATTTAATTGATAGATTTTCGTAATAATTTTTTCACGTAATTAGAAAAATGAATAATCAATATCTTGATATAATCGTTGAAAGAGAATAATATCCAAAAAAAGAAGTGATATTAAATGCAATATTAATAATAAGAAACAACTGTATTAAAAATTTCGATTTCGGCCAACGCTATTAAACATTGTATATTATTAATGCTTTTTCACATGTAAATAATAAAAAAAGTTTCTTTTTAGTCAGTGCCACCACGCCCACCCATATTAGGAATTTTAATACTTGTTGATCTCAATAATAATATATATATCAGTAAAAAAATTTTATTGTCCTAGTTTGGCAAAAATTTGTAACGTCTTTTCTTAATTACTTCGCCCTCAAAACTTTCAGGACGGTCCAATGTTCTTTATATATGTGTTTCCGTATATAGATAGATAGTTAATTAAAATTTATGGGCAATAACTCGTGGAATAATAAGTGGCTTTGGTGATCGCGTTAATACTTTTTTTTTTCATAATCGACAACTTATCAGTCCTCAGACATGCCCGAGTTATAAAATATTAACTAAAATTTGTAGACGATAACGCTAATAAATACCTCGGTGACTGTTATCAAAAAAAAAAAAAAGGATTTATGAGAAGTATTAGTTTGAAGCAGTCTCTAATTGATTGTATCGATGATGACAAAACAATGACAATAAAGAAGAGAATGTGTTTATTATATTGCACTTTAGGAATCGAGCATTTCCTATGATTCAAAATTTGCTAACTAATACTAAGCATATTGGGAATTTTGTTAAAATCAAGTTTATAACCTATTATTTATGAAAGTATAAGCATTACACACATATTATAGAAAAAACATTATCAGTCTCTTAAATTATATATAGAGCAGCAAAGAAAGGTTTACTTTAGTCATCTGAAAGAATTTTTTTATTATCTAAATCTGCTATTTATATAAACAGATGGCATTACATGCTTATGTATTGTTAATTGTGCATAGTTATTTAGCATATATTGTGATTTTTGTTTATTTGTTTATTTAAATATTTAATATAAATTATAGAGATTTATAATACAAAGAAAATGATTCTATTAAATATATCATCAATAAAACTGTGCAATAATCTTTAGGACGTTCTTTGCTTATTCATCATTATTTTAATAATAATAATAGCTTGAGAATTGATGTGTGCTTTTTAAAATTTTCTTTTGATGACTACTAGATGCAATATAACAGTTTGTAGATTTATTTATTTGAATAATTTAATGATCAAGCAAATATATATATAATCAATCTTTAAATAAACTAGCACAGCTCGAGTCATCTAAAACCGACCACTTTTGTCGATAACCGGCAATATTACTTGGAATAATACGATGATGTTTGTATTTTTTTAAGGCATATTCAGCTTGCTTTGCATCTAATCCTTGTCTATAACATTCTATATATTTAAAAGATTTACTTGCAAATTTTCTAATTTTTTCAAGAGAAACTGCATCCAAAGCCTCGGGAACAATTTTTTGTAAACCACTCCATGAAGTCACCTAGTTCCCCAAGTAGACAGAACGACGTGCAGAAGGCTTATAATTATTTATTCCATTTTGAAGGACTTTCACAAAATAACTGCAATTAGAATCTAAATCTGTATCCCATCAACTTACTTCACTATCACTATCACTATCGCTATTTGATTCATCATCATTTTCATTAATTGATTCGTTACTTGATTCATTATCATTTTCATTAATTGATTCATTATCACTGTTGTTACTTGATTATTATCTTCATTATCTTCGTTATCATTTTCATTCTCATTCTCATTATTATAAAGAACAACTTCGAAAAGTCTTTTTTCTTAGAGACAAATTTTTTAAATGTTTCTGCCTTTTTGTAAGTGGTGGCATACTCAATGAGAAGAAATGAACAAATGGCAAGCTTGTTGTAATGGTTCGTCCTTTATCAATTATTTACAATGTGTAATGTGGCAAAATTCAGGTCAATCACTATTTAAACATATAGATGGTCACTCAAATTAAAATTGCCATGACTTTTTAATTATAATTGTTCAACCCCAAAACTTTTCATGGAATTATTCTTTGGCATTTACTATATAAAACTATGAAGAGTTTGAACCCAAAGGTGCTCTGTGTGTCCACGTGATAGGTTTCAAAAATACCGCACAAAATTGGCCGGTTTTAGATGACTCGAGCTGTACAAGGATCTTTTTTTTGATTTGCATTCAAAAATTCGGGAAGGGGGGTTTTACAAAAATGTTATCTATTATATCCTCAGCTGTATTTATCAAGAGTGTAAGTTGGAGAGAAGGTCTATACAGGAATTTCTTATAGTGTAATAGACAATGATAATGTTGAGACCACGTTGAAATCGTCATTAAAATAAACTGCTAACTTTGAAATTAACGGTTTATGTGCCTCAAGGTATAAATTCCCCATTGCAGAACGTTTTTACTTTGACAATTCATAAGACCAAAACCTAACATTACCACATGTGACTCTAACAGTAGATGAAAATATGTTTGCACCAGGTCAGGGCTCCTTCTTGGGATTTGCTAGATCTCTTTCGTTGATTTTAGTAGCAGTAGATAAGGACGTTGTAGCTGAATATAGAGGTTGAATTATTTGCACCATAATGGCCCAAAAGAAATGTCTTTTGACCTTATCTCATGTAACCACATGTAACCATACTTGCCAATGACTAAGCATTGAGCAGAGCAAGCTCCTAAGACCAAGAACCGGATTAAAGCTCTTGAAGTATTTCGTGCTAATGAGATTTCAGGATATTTCTAAAGAGGAGTTTTTTAATAAATTTGAACCATATCATATGCTTTTTCCTAGAACTTTACTTTTACAACACTATTTTTTTTCTGATAGGCAACAAATATTAAATTTATTACTATCAAGGATTTTTAAAATTGAAATCAGCACTCAAAACCTAACTTTGTTTTTTGCAAGTTGGATTGATAGAAAAAGTCTACAATACACCTTATTCGAGGAAGTCAAATATGGATTTAAACTTCTATATTGTAGTAGTAGAGATGGTTTAAATTCAGCTACATTTATCAAAAATGTGATGATAACAACAAAACTCTTGTAGTTGGCAAAATACAAAGTTTAGAGCAAATAGTCAGCGGTCATGAATATCTATCACACGGCACAAATCATGAACGACCAAAAACAGTTATGCAACATCAAGGAATTCCAGGAGTACATTTTGCTTCATGTTGATTTTTATAGACAAAAATGATGAATTTGATCAAAAAACTACTTACATCACAACAACCTATTACTTCCCGAATAACCAATTTTACATAATAATCATCATAATAACAATCTTATTCTTGCAAGCTCTTTTACAACAGTAAAATCTTTATTGCAAAAGACAAGGTATATATATTCATGTTATTTCTGATTTATATAATCATTTTCTATTAAGCTCTTACTCAATCAATGCCCCTCCATCAACTAAACTTGACTACTCAAAAATTCTTTGCCTCAAACAAATATTTCCTTGATTAATTCTGATCAATTAGATGATACATCTGACCAATCAGCTAATACGCCCGCGTCCTATCGCGTTCACTTCATTGACAATCACTTCATCGACAGTCATTTCGTCAACATACATTTCGTCGACAATCGTTTCGTCGACAGTTCATTTTGTCAACAAACACTTCACTGACAGTTAGTTTACATATGATGATAGTGATGGTGATGATATTGTCACTGACTATTTTGATGATTATAATAATTGATGATAATTATTGTTTTTAATAGTGTGAATCAAATTAACAATATGATAATGAATCAAACTCGGGAAATATTTATTTTTCTAATGATGATTCTTTTCAAGATGCGTGAAATTCAGTTATAAATATGCTTGCAAACTAATTAGTATCCAAATCTTCTTTTTATCTAAATTTCCTGATGCTTCTGAAATCATGATTCCTAGATTCAATCAGGATTAACAATTAAACAAATTATATTAATAGTTATAATCAATGCGTATGCTACGCTAAAATCATATGATTGAAAATTGAAAAATTAACCATGCTGTATGAATGTTGCACTAAAATCATACAATTAGAAAATTTCTAATTTTGCACACAATTAATATTAACATGAACCATCAACGAGATGATTGTCGACGAAAGTGATTGTCGATGAAATGAATCAGACCCCTTAATAATTTACCTATTACATAATGCAATATACTGATTTTACCTCAGATTTATGACAGCAGCAACATTGTGCGAACTGTAAACAGGAGTTCCCAGCCCTCGCTACTACAAATCTACATAATGAGCCGGCTTACACAACTGAGATAGTGGGGTCAAAGACCATCTAATCCTTCTATCATTGTTTTCAGTGAGCGCGCATTATTATTATGAAATGAATGAATAAAATGAAATAATTATGTTTGGGGACGCTTCCTGCCTGAATATACCAATTTCTCTTGTAACGATTGCCATTATTTGAATTTAAATAGATAAAGCCATGACGGATGTTACGTGAAGCATTAATGTCTTGATTTCACAAAGTTGTGCGCGTATTCATACACGTCACAAGTTGCCAACATTCTCCACTTGTCCATCACAGCGGGAACAGATAATAGAAGTTCTGAATTCATCATATGTCCTAGCTCGATATGCTTTTTAAGTTGCAAAAACAGCCCTTTTTTTAGGACCAGATGAATTTCCATGGTTACTGAATGAGAAAATCCATCTTCATATGCTACAACTATTCTTGGAAATTCACCAGTTATTCTTGCAACAATTTCATGATAAGCCTTCTGCTTTTTAATTTATGATTTGAAACGAAGATTGTGCCAGCGCCTAGTAACATGAAATTCAAGCAGTGTTAGAAGATGCTCAAGAAAATAATGCAGATATTCTCTATATTGAACAACTGAAGTTGGAAGAACTAAATATCAGTTTATCTTATATCAATTTGACTAACCTCTTATTGTTTTTTTTTACTGTACAGTTTTCTTTATACCAGCTCTCAATTTTCTTCCTTCTTCTTGTGAAGCCCACTAGTGATTCCTTTGTGCTACATTTAATGGATTGATTTCTATTCACCCCATACGAAGCAACAAATAATGTTTTTCTTCCTGGGTCCAGCCTAACGCATCTGTCACTAGGTTGGATGTCTAATTAATGATAATTCCCATCTTGATCAAAACCATAGTCATTCACACTACCCTGCTGGATTCTTAGCTTTGCCACAAGGATCACACACTCACAGCATCCGTCATAATGCTAAGGCTAAATATTTGCCCCCCCCAATATCATCATTAGGTAGTGTAATCACCTTTGAAAAAAAAAGAAAGGGTTTTACAAGTGAAGAAAATATTGCAGATCAAAATGAATACTCATATTATCAATATTAAATGCTAGTCTCCACCAATTTAAGGTATCATTTCCAAATTCTGCCATTGCTAGTCCATGCCTTCCTAAGTCAACAAAATCAATTGAACAAAACCAATCAAAAAGAGCATTTGTTTGAATTGGAATATATCTGCTTTTGAAACTGGTGATAGGTGGAAGGTCAAGTAAGCGGAAGCCAGAACCAATCCTTCTTATTTGTTCTCTTGCTTGAGCATCCCTCTGTTTTTTTTCTCAAAGGCCTTAAATAGATATTTGATTAAAAAAATTTTTGGGTGGGTACAAAATTCTGATTGGCTAATTTAAACTTCACGCACAACATATCAAAGGAATGCAAATGTACCTATTATCATTACAAGGCCTGTCTCTAGGTCTACAGGGAGCATATATAGTGCCACGTACATGACTGATAAGTGGTGGAATTTTCTTGGCCTGATTGATGACAAACTAAGTAAAAAAATTTCTTGCGCAACCGTGGTCGTAATCTAACCTTAAAATTGGTACATTGTTTTCAACACAATATATAATTAGCGCTTGTCCAAGTCGTGATGCTTTTGCTGTAACTCGGATTCCGCAAGAAAAGAATTAAATCCCATCTCCACAGTAGTCTCAACACGGCGAATGGTAGTGTCCTTAACTATACACACATTTGCCCATCTATAGGCATAGGTTTTTAACTGAGGAAAGCTCATTAATACAGCGAATGCTGTATTTCTAAAAATAACTATAATAGTGACAAATTAATAAATTGCAAACTAGTACAAATTTGTTCACCATATACCATTTTTGAGTAACGCTGCTTGTAGTACGAAAAATATAAATATAAGATGTTATTTATTTTATATATACATAAAACTTGAAAGCTTTTTCCATCACCACTTGTTGTTATTGTTACTACTACTACTTGAAACAAAAAAATAGAATTAAATAACGACTAAAAAAACAACAAATGGAAGATAATTCAATGGACATTGATGATCAACCTACATCATCTAAATCTGCTGGAAAATCCAAAGATCATGGAAAAAAACGGTTTGAAGTTAAAAAGGTATTGTATGAATAAAATGATTTATTCTACAAAGTGAACTTTGTTGATTATTAAACTTATATAATTAATTTGTTTCTTTTTCAGTGGAACGCAGTAGCTTTATGGGCTTGGGGTAATTAGTGATGTTTATTTATATTTCTTTGGCGATCTCAAAGTTTTTGTTTTAATTTTTTCTTATTAAAAACAAAAAAAAAAGATATTGTCGTTGATAACTGTGCTATATGTAGAAATCATATTATGGATTTATGTAAGTTTTTTTTTTTTTTTTTTGAGGGCGAAATTTTTCTTGATAATGATTATAAATTAATTATAATTATAATCGAAAGGTATTGAATGTCAAGCAAATCAAGCTTCAGCTACCAGTGAAGAATGTACAGTGTAAGTTTTTTTTTTAAAACTAAATTTTTAAAAGAAAAAAAAAATCAAATCTTTCATATAAAAAATTATATTATATATAAATCAGGGCTTGGGGAATTTGTAATCATGCTTTTCACTTTCATTGTATTTCTCGTTGGCTTAAAACTCGACAAGTTTGTCCATTAGATAACAGAGAATGGGAATTTCAAAAGTATTTAGATTTTCTTTTATTTTAACTAATTATTATTAATCATATACTTATTTACCAAATATCGCTCATTTTTAATTTATTTAGATATGGTCGTTAAATATTTAATAAACATGGATTTAAAAATACCAAAGATCACATTATCTATTCATATATAATAATTGCCATAAAATAAATTTCTAACATAATTTCGAATCACTGATTTTGACAAATGTTATATACACGATTGATGATAAAAAATTTTTTTTTCTTTTACAAAAACATCGCTTTTGATAATCATCCACGAACAATGACTTCATTTAAAACTTTTGCGTAAAAGTTTGTGTCGTCTCACTTTTTATTCATAAGCTCGACAATCTTCTTCAGCTGTTTTCAATCAAGTAAATCAAAATAAAATGGTTAATGATATTGATTTTTTACTTTTATATTGTAAATCAATTAAAATCAAAAAATTTGATGATACTGTAAAAAAAGAACATCGAAATTGTAAATGTAAGGTTTGTTTGTATTTTACCTTATTTAAAGTTACAGGTTATCATTAGGTTATCATTATATATACATATATATAAATATTTATTATTCATGGTTTAAATAAATAAATAGGCATTTGCTCAAGTTAATTGGATAACATCAAGCCCTTCTTTTAAACAAATGGCTTTGGGATAAGCATTGTCATTTTACAACACTATCTATTCAAACTATTCATTTATTTCATATTTATTACGTGAATGTGCCAAATACGATAGATTAGATTTGGCAGACACCAAATTTATTCATGATATTGACACTAGCCAACAAAAATATTTGTTTGCAATGTGCTATTAAAAATATATAATGAGAAAAGAATGCAAAATTAAGTAAGAAATTTTCATTACTAATATTCCAATTATATTAAATTTACAAATCTTCTTTTTTTAAAAACCATTATGAAGCAATGTATCAATATAATGTTATTTCAAACTCGATAACATATTCAATTATGATCAGAGGTTTAAACTAATTGAAAAGTTGATAATTCGAGGGAATAAATTTGTTGAATTTACTTTTAAAATCTTTTTAATGAAACCAAATGTTCAAACATTCATAATATTATTGCGAAATTGTAAAGAATTCGATGAGTTAGAGTAAATATAGTAAAATTTAGATTATACATATATCATAATTTACATATAGAGATTATCAAGAGTTGTTTGCTACTCATTAATTAATTAACACAAAGAAGAAATTTTCTATTTGCCGTGTCACCATCTCCTTCCGAAATTCGCAAAGTTCATAATCTTCGTGC